TACTCACTAATATCGATGAAAAGAAAATATCACTCTACATTTAAATACAGGTCTTGCAAGATTTTAAAATGCACGAATTGAAAACAAAACTCGAGGGTCTAATAAAATGTTTTCACCGGACTGTATATTTTATAAACAAACCATAAAAACGATGTTGATGAGTACTAATGGCATTGTTCTCTTGATAAATTGTGAATTCAGCATTTAATTCAGTTCGCAAGTATCGAAAAATCAACCCGAGAATGCCGCCTCCAGTTGGAGGCGGCGAATTTCCAGTTTTCGTAATGGCGCCGGTTCTGACGTTTTCCTGGCACGTAAAATATTAAAATCGTAAAAAAGCCAGGAAAATGTCAGATATTTCGAACTACCTGAGGTAGGTAAATAAAGCTACGGTAGGTAATTTTAGCTACGTAGCTAAATGTACTGATTGTACTGGACCTGAATATAACACATCTGTTACGTACATTCAGACGTATTTTAGACGAAATGTCAGTTGAAGTGTAGGCCATCCCCGGTTTGAAATTTACACGTTTTCCAGAATCAAAACAAGAAGGCTTGCAAAGAGAAGTGGATGTAGGCGAAAGCCTGTCCACTTCTCCAAAGAGAATATGTATCATCTGTGCAAAACGTGACAAAGGTACAGAAAAAAATGAAAACAAGGATCCCGCTTCAAGAAAATACTACACTCAATCAATGAAGTTTTAATTATAATATTACTACCATATTTTCTTTTCTTTTTTTTTTAAAAAGAGTACTTTGTGTAAAAAATATTCAGTTGTTTCGCGACCAGACGCATGCCAAAATGGCGGCTAGTGTATTTATATCCTGAAAATGCTTATTTACCTGGAATTATTACTGACATAAATGTAAATAGGCTGACCAACATGTAAAATAATATGTATTTTAAGAATCTCACATTAGAGTTCGTCGTTTTGGCGGCTCTATCCCACAAAAAGTCAAATTTTAATGTACTGGCGCACCTCGACACAAACGTCGTAATAGCATCCATCAAGGAATGAGATAATTCGCGATTGGGTGAAAGGGGACCAATCAAAATTCTTCATACATTAAGATTTAATGATCTGATAAAATTGGAAATTTTTATGAAGAATATGCATACATTCTCATCAGAGAGAAGTTCATTTTTTCTTTCTTTGGTATGATTAAATGATATTTCGATTTAATAATTTATTTTATTATAGCATAAGTATTTTTCTTTTTTTAAATAATTTGCCGAACTATCCTGGACAAATATAAAAAAAATTTAACCAAATGAACGGTTATTATAAGTCTTTATGTGCTCTTCGGAAATATAAATAGGATTTTTCTTCAGAAAATTATATTTAGACAAATATTGAGTCCAAGAATTTTTTTTTTGGGGGGGGGGGGGGGTGTTGTACCTCTGAAGCATTGCATCCTTTCATTATGCATATATTGATTTATTATAGAGTTTGAAGTAGTCTCACTTTAGAAAACAAAAGGCTCTTTCCTCCGTGAAACCAAAACTTTCTTTTCATATTTTTTTTTTTCAGCCAATCGTGCCAAAGCTTTAATTGTTTCATGGGGGATATGATTACAGTACAAAATACAGCGCGAAGATGTTTGTATTATAATCATTAATCAGTTAATATGAAATGAGATTGCAGCTACAAAATTTTCCTGTGTGAATTTGATACTATTTAACTTTACATGGATTTAACATATTGAAAGATTAAGTAATCATTTATCCATATCCTTTATTTATTTATCTATCTATTTATTATTATTTGTTTTTTTTTAATTTTGTGACATTATAGTCTGATTTTAACAGACAAAAGAATGTGGGCGCATTTGAAATGGATTCGGCAGGAATATTGCGCACTTTAAAAGTGAAGATTTTATTGGGCTTTCGCATCAGCATTCTAATCATACATCGGAAATATAGCTAGATGTTATATGATACAAAATGTTATATGTTCCAATCAGTTTTTCTATAACATGTAATTTGCTATCTCTGGGTCGCCTATCTACGAAATTTGTGTAATGTGTATTTTGTGCGAACTTTAATAACAACAGAACTTGCAAACATTTGTAATTTAAAAAAGTATATAAATAACAAATAATTAAAAAAAAGAAATAATGAAATAAAAAATAAGGAGAGCGAACACTTAAAAAAAACCCCATAAGATATTATCCCACCCCCACCCCTCACATCCTGTAAATGCGATGCTTCATTAGTGGTTTTAATCCGGTAATAAGTGCCCCGATATAGCGAACATGCAGGTATTTTTATTTGAAGTTTGATACGCTCATATAGCATTCATATTTTGTTTTAACAATTTAAGACGATCGTTTGTCACTTTGATAACATATTTAATTTATTGATTTATTAGAGTTTAAAATAAAGTAAAATTCTGATTTCCTCCTACATTTACATTTATTTAGTATGCCCTATAGCTGCTGACTAATTTTATAAAATTATACTATTATGTCGTATCCAGAAAAAAATCACCTAGGCTCTTTAATATTACAATTCGTTGACAAGGTATTTCATTGAAGTGTAACATTTTTTTGGCATGACTTTCTTATAGGTATGTCCTGATGTGGTCAGCCGACCAAACCTTTGACAGGACATTTAAACAACGAATGAATCGTACTCACGATTCCTGCAGACTAGAAACTAGATACACCCATCTTTCTTCCAACCCTTTTATCAAGAAGAATTGTAAATAAAAGCAGTTGCTATGTAGACATTGGTATTAGAATTATTAATCAATTATAATTTTGAAAATGTACGTTGCTGTAAAAATTTTAATGGCAGAATTGCCAAACATGTTGAATAATGCGTGTGCGTGTAAAATATAAGCGGGAATCAAGAGTTCGTGCGCGTATAGTTCTTTTGAATTTACTGGGATATTCATTTATCATACAAACTTTTAAAGAAAAAATTACAGAGTGAAGGTCTATACAAAATTTAGAAAATCATATCTTTGTATGTGTTTTGTTTGAATGTGTGAGTGTGTGTGTGTGTGGTGGTGGGGGGGGGGGGGTACTAGTAGTCCAACTTTCCAAAAGAGAAAACTTTAGATTGTATTACATTAATGTGGGAGGATTTTGGTCATGCTGCACTGAAAAGCGCGGCCTTTCAATGACGATTTCCTTAACTTCTGACAAAATATGTGTATGTATGTGTGTGTGTGTGTGGGGGGGGGGGGGGAGGTTGGTCATGACCTAGATATATTCCAAAGAATTTGACGGGACTTTTATTCTAAGATAAATAAATATACATGTATCTTAAATTCATGACATTGTTCTGAGATAAATATAAATGTTTTTTTCAACACAAACAGAAAAAAGATATTGTATGAATACTTTTTGAGCATATTGAATGAAATATCAAGAGATAACGAACAGTGACCATTCTCAAAAGTCCATTTAAGCAACACAGATTATCAGCAGAGCCAACACGAACCTCTGAAAACAGAGGTGGATCAGGTGCCATGGAGGAGTAAGCATCCCCTGCTGATCGGTCACACCCACCGTGTGCATGATCTTTGTCATGATCGGGTAAACGGAAAAATCGGTAGACAATTCAGTGTGAAAATAATGGCCTAACAATTTGTATGAAAAAAGTAACTCAACATTCGACTATCGACAGACTGTATTCGCAAACAAGGTCATTGTATCAACCATAGAATTGGCGAAATGTTGATTTTAAACGAGATTATTTATATCCTTGCACCATCAACTTATTTGTCAATAGTCTGCCTCATTTTAGAAATTGTTCGTACGTAGAACATACTCTTGTGTATCCAATTAATCAATTGGGAGACATCAAATCTATGTGCAGATGATAGACTATTAGTGTTATATTGCTACAGAACTAAGGGTAGGTGTCGATAAAAAAAAAAAGGTCATCACGTTTATCATAAAGTTCAATAGAAAACAGTTTGCTATCAATGTCTTTTTCTAGTAAACCCTCCAATTAAAAATGAAACTGTAACAGATGTGTCAGACTCTGTGGTGTCTTATATTTCTTGGTCAATGGGATATATCGAATCATTGTAAGAATGGAAATAAGTGGTGTGATAAAACGCCATCGATATTCATTATAAATGTTCGAGATGAAGGCCACAGCAAGAGACTTCTTCTTTTCATGTAGAAGTTTTCGAATAAAACCTGCTTCATATAATACAAAAAAACCCAACATATTCTTCTAATAACGGGATATGATTATTACCGATGGAAATTCCAACAGATTATTGGAAGACCTGGTCTCCGAAAACGGTTTTAAATGGGGAGGGGGGGGGGCTCCCCCCAAAAATCTGACAAGCACAAAAAAGTCCAACCTCAACAAACTTATTTCGTTGGGGGGGGGGGGGGGGGAGAAGGTACTGGACCTTTTGCTAACATTTTGCTAACTTTTTGGTATTTTTTTTTTTTTCAAATGCTGGTATTTGCCAGTGCTCAACCTTACAGCAACAAAAATTAAGTGTGTGTGTGTGTGTGTGGGGGGGGGGGGGGCAGCAGCTACATGCAAATTTACCACAGCAAAAATACCTTGCCCGAAAAAGTCCCCCCCCCCCTTCCCCCGCTTTCTACGAGTCTGAGTCATAGATATTGGTAATGATAAATTCAGTCATCTTTTTAATATCAGCCTCGGAGTACTTGTGTGTAGAATCAGATTGTTTTTTAACAGAAATTAAAACAAAATTTTAATTTTATTCATTTTTGTTAATTGTCATTTTATTTTTATAGCTGTTATTTTATTTTTCTCATTTTTAATTGAAAACTAACAGCTGTTAGGAGAATTTGAAGAAATAATGTGATCAGTGTACAGCAAATATTATAGGCTCGAGATCGAAAATCCATTTCCGGAAAATCCGGTTTATAAATTATATTCTATTTTAGGCCGATAATGTTTACAGATGGCGCTGAGGAGGAAAATCTTATGACAGACGAGACAACATGACATGTGAACATTAATAAAGAATGAATAGTAAGTGATACAGCTTAAAGGTCAAGAATGTAAAGATCGCCATTTGTTTTTAAGGTAAAGGTTTGACCAACAGTTGAGTTTGTAAACTATTTTGATATCTTTATGTAACAGTGTACGGTTGAAAGGTTGAACCTGTTGAAGAAATACAGTGTTCTTGCACAGGCACTTGGGGTATGGACCCCCCCCCCCCCCCAACTTTCCCATTTTTTTTCTTTTTAAATCTGGAGTCGAGTCACCTTTTTCCTATTTTTGTATTCTAATATGCACTGTATGTTATCAATAATATAACTCTTTTGTCTCTATAAGCTGTTTTTAAATATATCGTTTTCGACTGATACATAAAAAGAGAGAAGGCTTGCAACTCTTTTCTCATCGTCTGCATCACCTCGCTTAAACTTTGCCTGATTATTTATCGAAAGAATAAGAAAACATGAAATATGCATACATCAATAAATTTGTTATACATTCTTCTTTCTTTTCATATTTCAATTTAATTTTTATGTGCCCCCGATTTGTAAATATTTCGATTAAATCATCCGCATCTAGGGTAAATTTTGTTGATGTGCACCAGCTGATGTGCTTGTTATATATAAGTGTCTGGTGCAAACAGATTATCAAACTGTTGAGGTTTGTTTTGATTTCATGCATTTTGAAATCTTGTGAGACTTGTATTGAAATGTGAAGTGATATTTTCTTTTCAGCGATATTGGAGAAAACTCGATAGAAGCATTGTGCTAATGATAAGTTGTGAGTTTTGACATTTAGTTCGATTTGCAAGTATCAAAATTGAGTTCAATTTAGGACCGCAAAATTTCCACTTTTCATAATGGTGCCGGTTCTGACGTTTCCTGGCATGTAAAATATCAAAATTGTGAAAAACGCCTAGAAAACCTCAGATATTTCGGACCACTTTAACAGTTGAATGGGGAAAGGTCATCTATAAGATACTTGCAAACCTTGAAGGATTTCTTAGCCTTAAAAGTTTTTGCGGGGGTAATACCTTTAGGGCAAGTGCAGTTTGTTAATTCATTAATCTTGCACCTTTCATATGAAAGACAATGATGCCTCAATTTTACATAAACTTCTATTTAGCCTGCAATTATTGCATCTCGAAATGTCCCTTTTTTTAAAAAGATTTTTCTGACCTCACAAAATGTGTTTTCTTTGACATCTCCTCATTACACAGGACATACTTAACTTCTTGGATATTTACATGGAAATTCTGCCAAACTTAGAAAGATGAAGTAATGATACCTACAAATGCACCTTTAACATGTTTAATGAGGATGCATTTTCCAGTTTTTGGGCAGAGAGATGCAACAAAATTTTTATTTGTAAATCTTTTAAGTATAATTCATTGCTATGTTCCAGCCACCCTGTTGGCAGTTGCTGTGCACTCAACAAGTTGTAGAATTCTTTCATCTGGACTCAGAAAAAATTTCCCTGAGCACTATGTAATTTTCAACTTGAATTTCTTGCATTCATATAAGTCAAACCTCATTATTTCAAACTCGATGGGATGAGAAAAAACTTTGAGATATCCAAGGGTTCAAGGTATCGAAGGTAAAGTACTTAAAAAATACATGGTTAGGACTTCCCAGTCACTTAGACATATCCATGTTATTCGAGATTTCCATGTTCGAGATACCGAAGTTCAACTGTATGTTGTCAATTGAGATTGCTACACAAGGTGTGCACCTGCACCTTTTTGCTGCGCTCACTAATTAACTTTTTCATTTCAAAACACATTGAATTTCATTGAAAATCTGAGGAAATATTTTTTTAATAAGATTTATAGCTTTTTTTTTTTTTTTTTTTTAATTGATTTGTTATTTCTAAGAAACCAAAGTTATTGTAATGTGTTTTCATTTTTACTGTATATAGGAAGGATTGTTCAGGTGACTGGGGCCAGTGGGATGGCATAATTTAGTGAACTGCTGAATGCTCATGGGCAGAAGTTCATGAGAGTATGAATTTTTAATTTGTTACAAAGGGATCTTAAAGAAAAAGCATTGCTGAATGAAAATGCTTGTATGTGGAAATGAATAGCTAAAATAGCAGGTTACCTGAACACAGCTGTATTTTATTCAGTTGAAGATAAAGGATATTCACAAGAAGATTAGAGTATAGTTGTCAGGCAGCATGTCTGTCAAAAGAAAAAAATTACTATTTTGACTTTTTATAGTTCAACTCTTTCTCTAGGAAGCTCCCAGGAAATTATTTCTAGATTTCTCTATTCTCTCTGCACTGAGCACCACTAAGGAGGTCTCAAAATAATGGAAGCTGTTTCTGTTTTAATAGTTATACCATTTTACATATAAACCTAATAATACCAATTTACATGTAATAACTTTGAATTTCAATTTAGTGAGACTTGAACAAATAATATTTACTAAAATTTAAATTCAAATCTATTAATGTTACATTTTGTCTGATTTATACAACAGAATTTTTTTTTCTCTACTTCTTGCTATCACCAAATCTTTCATGAGCAGATCATGCAGTAATCTCATTTTTCATAAGTACATCCAGTTTACTCCAATAAAAGTGATTTTGAGTTATCCTTCTTGGTTAAAATAAAAAAAAAAATGAAAATTCACAAAACTGTAAAAAAAAAAAAAAAAAAAAAAAAAAAAAAAATTTAGGGAATTACTTTTTACTGTGTAAGGGCACAAAAGAAGGGAGTGATACAATCATGCAGAGTTATCACTGAGGACAGTCTTGAAGGGGGGGAGGGGGGTCTATGGATCTATGATTGCTGATATCAATGGTGCAGTTTGTCATTCTGTCATTTTCAAATAATTCCCTAGCTGACAATGTTTAATGAAACAAAACATTTGTTGACACAGTAGGCATTGGAGTTGGAAATGTTGGCAGACAGACCTATGTTGCTTTCTGTGGAAAACATCATTAGTTTCAAAGAATGGTGATATGAATAAAAAAAACATTATGGTGATCTGGAAAGTTGGATCACACTATGAAAACAGCATTACATCCCTCCCACCCACCCCCACCCCCCAAAAAAGGTATATGATAAAATTATATTATTAATCCTCATTTTCTCCTTTCAGGAAATGGCTGTAGTTTTTCATCAATCCTAGCATCATGACACAGTGGGATCCACTACCCACCACTCTAACAACATTTGGGCCTCTGAGTTCTGAGGAACAGCAGTCCTCAGGTTTCCTGTATAAGCTTCTGAAAAGGACACAAAGAGGTAACTATCATGTGTAGTCAATTCTTTTTAGCTCACCTGAGCCAAAGGCTATAGTAAGCTTTTCTGATCAAAAGGTGTCCATCATCTGTCTGTCTAGCTGTTGTCTGTAGTCTGTAAACTTTTCACATTTTCAACTTCTTCTCCAGAACCATTGTGCCAATTTCAACCAAACTTACCACAAAGCATCATTGGATAAAGGGGATTCAATTTGTTCAAACAAAGAGTCACAAGCTTTTTCAAGGGGAGGTAATTAAGAATTGGAGAAAATTCTTCTCAAGAACAACTGGGCCAGAAAGGTGAAACTTTTATGAAAGCTTTCTGACATTGTATAGATTTAAGTTTATTTAAATCATGTCTTCTAGGGGTAGGCAGGGCCGCAATAGGAAATCAAATGTTTACAGTGGAATATAATGTCATTGCCCCTAGGGGTAGGGTAGGGCCACAGTAGGAGATCAAAGTTTTAAATGGGAAGATATAGAGGAAATAATTCTCAAAAATAGCAGGGCCATGATTGTGTTTTTAATATTCAAGCATTCTCAGGTAGTGTAGATTCAATTTGTTTGAATCATAGCCCCGAGGGGTAGGGTGGAGCGAATAGTAGATAAAAGTTTTACATGGGAATATATAGGAAAAAATGTTTAGAAATATTCTTATCAAGAAAAACAAGGCCATGATTAGTTATATTAATATGCAAGCATCCTCAGGTAGTCCAGATTCAAGATTGTTCAAATTATAGCCCCTGGGGGTAGGGTGGGGCTACAGTAGGGGATACTGGTACATATTTAACATTGAAATGTAAAGGAAATAACTTTTTCTGAAGAACAGCAGGGCCATGATTAATGTTTTTAAAATTTAAACATCCTAAGTAGTGCAAATTTTAGTTTGTTAACCCCCCCCCCCCCCCCCCCCCCCAAGGATAGGGCGGGATCACAATATATGATCCAAGTTTTACACAGGGCTGTAAAGGTAATTGTATTTAAAACCTTCCTTTCAAAAACATTCTGGCCATGATTAGTGATAAACATGTAAGCATCCTCAGGTAGTGCAGATTCAAGATTGTTCAAATTATAGCCCCCGGGGGTAGGATGGGGCCACATTAGGGGATACTTATTTTGTTCAAAGCATGACCCCCCAGGGGTAGGGTTACAAAAAATGACTAAAGTTTTACAAAGGAATGTAGAGTTAAAAGTATTTAAAAATCTTCCTTTCAAGAACATTCCAATCATGATTATCAATATGTCTCAGGTAGTGTAGATTCAAATTTGTTCAGATATGGCCCCCTGGGGGTGGGACCCTGATATGGGGTCAAACATTTTTATAGGAATAAAAGGGGAAAAATTGTAAAAAAAAAATTTCTCATTAACAGCAGGACCAGTATCACTCAAGTGAACATTGTGGCCCAGGGGCCTCTAGTTTAATATACTGAAATTAAGGACCTGTTGAATTACTCAGATTCATTGACATTTTGTTGTCCACTGCAATACATATTTTAGATATTTTTTGTAATACCATGTTGAAGTTTTCATCCTGGATTTTTCTAATTTCTTTTATCTTCTTCAGATGATAGTAAGGAAAGTTCTAAGTCATCCAGCAGCTCCCGTGAAGTGTCCATAGAAAGAGAGAAGGCTCTTCCAACTGTAATCCCAGAATCACAACCGAAACAAACAGATAATGGTAATTATAGCAAGTTATTTGTTATAGACCTATGTCATTTAAACATTGGTTGTTTTATTTATTTACCACCCTCCCCCTTCTTCCCCCCAACTATGAAAAATCTATAAAACTTTGCACTAATCAAAGTTTTTTAAATTCCAAACTGCACTACACTATTGTGTAACTTCCTTGTTAAAAAAAAAGTATATGTAGCACCCTAGGATGGAAAACTGCTATTCTTCCTCAAAATATTTTTAAAATTTCATTAAATTGCCCATTTTTGAATTATTTGTATTATTTGTTCCTTGTTAGAAAGAATTTTAAAAACTGAAAAAAAAAATCCATACATTTATGCAGCCTGTTAAGTGATTTGCCTTAGAGTAACTAGAGTAAGTATGTATTTCTCAAATACATTAAGGGTGTTGTCATTTTAGTAAGTGTTGAATATTTTTGTACAGAGGGAGGGAGTGATGAGGATAGTGGGAGGAGTCGAGCATCCTCAGGCAGTGAGTATACTCGACAGACATCCATCACCATGCAGCAGATGGCCAACAGAACTCGATCCAGTGTTCTCACTCGTCTCAGTAAAATTCTGGAGGGAAGGAATGTGGTCAGTGAAAAGTTAAAATTTATTTTTTTGTGCTCTGAGTTAATTATTTAAAAAAAAGAAAGAATGGTATATATACTAATTGGAGGTGCAGTAATTAAACAAAAATTGTGATCTTTTATAGTCAGTTTTAGTATAAACAAAATTACCCAACAGTATCATTTCTGTAAAATTTAAAAATATTTACAGACCCCTCAGGCATATAAAGACAGTGACTTTAAGCAGTACTGGATGCCCGACAGCAGTTCCAGAGAGTGTTACGATTGTGGTGATCGATTCACCACGTTTAGACGGCGGCATCACTGTCGAGTGTGTGGACAGATCTTCTGTAGTAGATGTTGTAATCAGGAATTACCAGGACGCATCATAGGCTATAAAGGTAGTATGCATAATTATTTTTTTGTATGCATTCATCCCTACTGTTTTAAAGATTTGTCAGTGATAACCTAAATGTATATTGAATTTTGTGTTTGGGTAGTCACATGTAGGTTAATCTGTAGTCAAAGTAAAATAAAAATTTCCTGTGTAATTCAGGGCACGTTTATAAGGAATGTTTTCCATGTTTTGATAAAGAAAATTTTTATTTGCATAGATATACATGTATGTTTATAAGGATTTTAATAGATATACATGTAGATACAAACTTGTTAGATAGAACATTCAATATATTGACTCATTACATTTGTAGATGATATGATTCTTCTCTTTCTCTCAACATATATATTTGGTATGTGTGCATTTTGTGGGACACTATACCTTATAAAGTGATGTTGTAGATGGTATCCAAGGATGAAACTACTATAGTACTGTTATTATAGCTCTGACATAATAGTTGTTACGTACTTATTGTACTTGTATTAGGTGGTATCCGTGTATGTACATACTGTGGTAAGGTGGCTCTCAGTGCCCTGCAGACTGAGCCCACAGGAAACATGCATGTAGAGAATGATGAACTGGGGAACTCCACAGAGTTAGAGCAGTCTTCACACCAGATCTGGGGCACCAAAGGGAGATTATCCTCAGATCTAGGCTCTTTAAGGTAAGTACAGATGTCCTCATGACAAAGTTAAATCATAAAGGGGAGGTTCTCTACCTGTATCAGTTCCTCAGTTCTCATAGCTTCTGTAAGTCAGTAAATACATTCTAGATAAAGGCTGTTAAAGTTTAGTAGAATAACTATTTGTGAAATCAATTGTGATAGGGGTACAACAAATCCAAACTTCACCAGCCAAGAATCTGTGACAGATTTCTGCCCAGAGCATATTGATGCCATCGATCCAAAAATCCTTGAGGTAATACAAAATGATTCATGAAATAAATCGGACTTTAATTAATTTCTGCTATGAAAAATGTGTTTTGATAATAAGCTTTCTTAAGAAATATATTAGTTATAAGATTTTGTTAATCAGTGCTGTAAATCAGTTGTTGAAACAATCATGTGTTTAACCTGTTACATTGTATATACAGGTATTTTAATTTCTTTCCCTTGATTTAGGACTCTGCACAGCTAAGAGAGTTATGGAGGAAGCTTTTAGATCCCCTTTCTGGTGTAGAAATGCAGAGCCACCGTGTCAAACTCAGCACATACAGAAACTGTGTCAGCGGAAATCGTGTGGTGGACTGGCTTCTAAGGAATGATAAGGTTGCTCAAAGGTAAGTATACATATAAAAGAGTATATTATTTTCATATTAACTGATTGTCCTTCCTCTTCTATTAAATGTTTTAAAAATAATCAACTTGAACATGATGTATAATATGACATAGGAAATCTGTTAGTATAGATATTTGAATGACCACTGTTACTTTTACAGATTGCAGGCTGTAGCTATAGGACAGGCTTTGTTAGATGCTGGGTTTCTAGAAACCATTGCTGGACAACCTAAAGTGTTCCATGATGATTTTAATCTGTACAAGCCTTCAGAGGTATCAACTTTCTGTTCTTTCACTGTATTTAAAATTTTATTACCAGTAATCAAGGCAAAATCATACCAAAACCAAACTTTGGCTGTAGAAAAGAGAATGGTCATGTGTTGAAATTAAAAGAATAATGAACTTGTTTCAATTAATTTGGCTTGCAAGATAAGCAATTTGATGATGAAGACTAAGTATGTGAATTTCCAGGTTACTGTAAATTTGTTTTTATTCATGAGAACTTTATTTTCCAATAATTACGCGAGACACTCTGCTCTAAAAAAAATTATTCTCACGTATATTTTCTTATAAAAGATATGCAAAAGTAACCAGAATTCATGAAAAATTTGTTTTGCTTATAAATACCAAATAACGATCATGTGAAAAAGAGATGTTGCAAAAATTAAATGATTTACAGTAATTGAATTGAATGTAAATCTTTGATAGACCTCCCCAGTAGATCCACCCCAAATTGAAGTGACAGATGTTGAATCTTCAGAACAGAGCATGGAGCCAGAATGGTTCAAATCCATCCAGTCAGATATGTCTATTGAAGAATGTGAGTCATTTATTAACATAAAACAATGGTATATCTGTAGAGGAATGTAAATGATATTATAATATTAATAATGTAATCTTCCATTATTGTAATTTACAGATTACCCTTTAAGTTTCATTCAACAGTTATATACATTATGTATGCTTTGAAATGTGTTCAATTAGTCCGTGACAATGAAAGAAGGTTGCCAATGAAATTTTTGTACATTTCTTGTACAGTTTCAGCTTCAGAAGATTACACTGAATCTAAGGATGCAAGGAGCATGAAGAAAAAAAGTTCTTTCACAGTTAGTCAGGATTATAGAACAAATGGATCTAAACAAGGTATAGGGTGGAAGAGAAGTTTAGATTTCTCTAGGCTTGTATGATTATTAATAAAGAGATACCTGAATATTATTATGACAGTATGCTTTTCTTATTTCAGACAATGATGGTGTGGAGTTTGAGCCTCTACCTAGGACTGACTTAGAGGGACTAGGTGGACAGGATGATTTGATATCAGGTCATTTTTGCAGTACATGTAGACATAATTTATTTTTTCCATTGCTCTGCATCCTATGTAAACTGTCATGTTTTGTCCTTTATAGAAGATTTGACAATGTTAGACTGACATTAATATGGTCCTATTTGTGGAACAAACAGTATGTTTGAAAAAAAAATTCTGTTGCGTGATTAAAGGCAGGACTTTATAGATGGATATTTTCGTGTGTTATATAATTGCATCCTAGTAAAAAGTAAATCCTGTAATTTTTTTTCCTGTAATTTTAATTCTACTTCTGTAGATTCCATGTTTACCAGTTCTCAGACTGTCACAGCAGATCAGCTGTCCAGTATGAACAGGGGGTGGAGACATATTGAGGCACTGAGAGAGGAAAATGGAGAGAAAGCAGCTTTCATAAAACTCAGGTCTGCTTTGACTTCACTGTAAATCTGTCAGACATATTTTAAAAAGAAATGACTGTAGGTAAGATCTATGAAACTGAGAAACAATCTAGACAACTTGAAAATATGAAGTCATTTGGAAGTCCCAACCACTTTTCTTTGATCTATTTTACCCTCATTATCTAAAACCCTTGGATATCTCAAAGTTGATTCTTGGTCCCTTTGAATTTGAGATAGCGAAGTTTGACTGTACTGTGTTAAAAATGCTGACAAGGAAAATAATTACTGGTATATGGATTGACATTTACAATGTACATTGTATATTAGGCCAATTTTATTGCAATGTAGTTTCTCTATAAAGTAAATATAAAATAAAATCAGGGATGCCCACAAAGACCACTTGCGAGATTTGGCCAGTCAGATGTTGACACAGGAGGGACTGTCCAAGTCCTGGCTGGACATCATATTAGGCACAGCTGACCGTATTAGTCGTTATGTTTGCCCAGATGTGAGGGTAGAGAATGACCACATGGACATTAGGAAATACATCAAGTTCAAAAAGGTACCATAAATTTATATAATTGTTTGTGTACAATGCATCTAAGTTTACTCATGGCTTGTTTTACTTGTGGGAATTTTAAATTGAATAAAGTGGCAAAATCTAATGAAATACAATGTACTTATGACTTAAAATATGTTCTACTGTAAAAAATATTAATATGATAAAGACAGTTATAGGATTTTCCTTTATTTACATCTTCATGAACTTTATGATCTCAAAATTCATGATTTCTTTCATAAAAAGTACTGAAATTTTCCATCTGCTTGTAATTTGAGAATTTTACCTCAATTTTGGGAAAAAAGAGGCAGTTTTCAATTGGGACCTGTATGCAAAGGATGTTAAACCCAGGATAATGTTCATGCTTTCATCTAAATTTCATTATTTTATTTTAATTTCTGGATATTAAAGATCCTGATTACTTGTTATGTTTATCAATAATTGATTGGCTGAATCTTGTTTAAGTTTTATTCAATGATAAAAGAGATGTCTTTTTTGCCACAGATTCCTGGAGGCAATAAGGAACAAACATGTATGATTCATGGGATGGTGTTCACCAAAAATATTGCCCATAAAAAAATGGCAAGTCAAATTACCAACCCCCAAATCCTACTGATGAAGGGTTCTATTGAATACCAGAGGAGGATCAACAAATTCTCATCACTGGAGCCTCAAATATTACAGGTAAATCACAGTTCAGTTACTGATCACAACTTGAATTTATATCAGTATATGTGTATTCATCAAAATACGGTGAGATGAACCACTTCTGAATCAATAAAAAAGTTAAAGACAATAACTATCTTTTATACTGTATACTTCATTTGGTCTTCCTCATATTACCTTGAGTATATTTATTTTGAATTTTATAGATATTCAGGGATTTTAAGAGTAAACATGATCTTATTTAGTACTAGAAAGTTCATGTAGTATTTTTAACATTTTCTAGAACTATCTTGTGGAAAAGCCATTAATTGGATTGTTTGAATATTTTAAAAATCATATTTTTAAATATTTTATAATCACTTCAAAGGAGGAGGAGTTTTTGAGGAACAACATATCTAAGATTGCCTCCCTGAAGCCTCGCCCAGACATACTTGTAGTGGAGAACACAGTGTCTCGTTTGGCTCAGGAATTCCTGTTACAGGAGGGCATCACACTTATCTTCAATGTTAAAATGGTATTTACTCTGATTAATCATTTTTTGTCATGATTCAGATGAAAAAGGTTCTACCTCTGCTGGTTGAACCCTCCCCCACAACCCCCCAGAAAAGAAAGCACATGCATTGGCAAAATGCTGGTGGCCTCTTTTTTCTCTAAAAAAAAAAATGGTATAATAGTAGACTTTTTTTAAATATACATGTATAATTTATTAATGATTTTTAATGTCATTAATTAATAATATTAGTATGCAAACATCCTCAGGTAGTGCAGATTTTTAAGTTTGTTCAAATCATGGCTCCAGTGGGTAGGGTGGGACCACAAGGTGGGTCAAAATATTTTTATAGGAATATGGAGAACAAAAATATCTTTTATACGGTAAATATTTTTATCAAGGTAAGCAGTGCCAATGTGACTCATGGGCTTCTTGTTTTTGAAAGATACATGTATATCTGCTGTTATTAGAAACAGAATATATTAGACTAGACTGAAATGCAGCAAAGTTATGCTTCTCTTGTCTGATTGATTTAAAAAAATATATTTTGATTAATATTCAAACAAGATTAAAAAAAATATGAGCATAAGAAGGCTTTCAGACAATTTCAACAACAGTTTCATCAGAGACCTCTAGTTTAAATCACAAAATTTAGCTCATATGAATTTACAAGTACTTTATAAATTACTTAAATGTAAACAATAATGGTTGTACCTTAATTAACTGATATTGATGGATTTTTAAAAAAGGAAAATGCATATGTGTCATTCATAGAGTGTGTTAGAGAGACTAGCCAGATTTACCCAGGCCTGCATAGTGCCTTCAATTGATAGCATCGTGAGTGGACCAATCATCCTAGGCTTCTGTCACAACTTTAAGGTGTGCAACTTCACACTCCCTCATGGTAAGTCCTACTAGAACAATATTGTTACTATCATAAATATACAGAAAGAAATATATGGATGCATGAAATTCATAGCTTAATCTCTAAATGTAATATGATGTTGGGTTATTATTTGTGAGGAAATTTGTAGGTGAGACAAAGACTATGCCATGTTTTGATGGTTGTGCTACACATCTTGGATGTACAGTCACTCTTAGAGGGGGAACTGTTAGTGAACTTAAAAGGGTAAATATTGAATCTAAGTATAAATATAGAGGGAAAAGAGAATGCATTTTGTTGACACATTTATAAATAATGCAATGATAAAAGTGCTCTACAGATATTGTGTACTTGTACACTGATATTGACAAAAAAGATTATACTTCCACAGCTGAAGAAGATAATGAAGTGGATGGTGTTTGTCTCCTATCACTCTAAACTGGAAATCTCTTTCTGTATGGATGAGTTTGCTCTACCCGTGAACAAGTCCCAGGCCAACTCTGTATCACCTGGTATGGATGACCTGTCTGGCTCAATGGAGGTCCACCAGCCACAATCCTCCAGAACATCACAGCAGACAACACCTGATGAGGTGGCTCCCATTTGTGAGGAGCATGAGGAAGTGGAGGGTCTACCTGGAGTTCCCAGTGGGATTGACATGTGTGATGTGGGGAAAGGGAAGGACATTACTGAAGAAGGATTGAAGTCATTGGGAAGTTTTAGTGAAATAAAAGAAAGTGAGGTGGTTGTAGATATTCAGGATTTTGAAAATCAAGAGAACACAGCTAAAGCTACAGGTTCAGAGAGCAAAAAGCAAATGAAGCCAGAAGAGGTGGTTATCATTCAAGAGGAAAAGCCTACTGTTCTCATTCAATCAGACAGCATTATCATTCAGCCTGACAGCAGTGTTGGAATACCTGTAGATCAAGTGAATGACAACACCTCAGAGAATCATGGAGGTTATAAAATGTTTACTAGAGGAAGTCGGCCATCATCTACCAAACACCCTGTCGGACTGGAAATTTCTGATCAGTCAGATCCACTTTATAATTACCAGAAAAACAAGGATGAGACAATCTTCTACAGCTCCCACACACTCCAAGAGAAATCTCTAAAACACTGTCAGAAATTCAACAAACTTTTAAAGGAAGTTATTCTCTCCAGCTCACCATTCATCAATTATGAATTGCCTTATCTGGAGACAGAGGAAGGGTCTATGTGCAGTAACAGGAAATTCTTTCCTGAGGAGATTTACTGGTCCAATTATTTTGAGTCAGAGAATCAGCAGGAGAAGAAAAAGAGTAAGAACATTGATTACCAGCCACCAGTTAAGAAGCCAGTGTTGGAGTGGTCCAGAGTGGAGGTGGTAGAGGCCCACCCATTAGTGGTCAGTCAGCTTTGTCTGCCTATCAATGACAAGACAATGCAGGTTTGTATGTGTGTGTACCATATTCTTGTCAGCATGCTTAGAAAATTATCACCCTATAAAATATTCATTGTAAGGATATACATGTACATATCTATGTATGCTGAGATCAAATCATTGTATGGCTTTATCATTCTTGGAAAAGGAAATAAATCATCATGGATATGATTTGCAATTTTTATTTGTCAATGATTTTTAAAACTGAGAAAGAGAAGAAGCAGACTTTGAAAATTACTATTTTAAGAATAGTTAGAGCTGAAATGTAAAGTAAATACTGTGTATTAATTTCATAAACATTTATTTATCCAGGACATGCTGGCTGATTTTAGAGCAAGAGGAGGGAGATTAAAACTGAACTATGACAAGCTACCCAAGGGACCTGTGATATCATATGACACAAAAATCACTGCATCTTCTAGTGATAAACCTGTTGTTCAGAATGGTACACTTAAACCTGCAGAAGTAGACAGTCCCAAAAAGACACCTGCCAAGGTAGATTATGTTGACGGACAGAGCTCCAACTGGAGCGAAAATATTTTTCGCCACTTTTCGCGATGAAAGGAATAACATTTTTACACAAGTGTACAGTGTTAAACACTCCACTAATAGCACTATTTCAATTTGTTTATATCACAGGCATTGTTTTAAAATTGTAAAATTTAAAGTTGTATCCACTTACAAAACTGATATAGGAAGTATTTATACAATTAATTTGATACTGATATTAGCCAACTCTTGACAGTAGATGTCCTCTTGTTCATAACTTTTTAGCCTGGGGAGGGGAGTTACAGACTTAGTAAAGATATATGACATTTTTTTTAAAAATGAAAAAATAATATAATAGGCGAAAATTTTAATCATATCAACAATTTATTGTGAAAATTTAAGAAGTAATTAAAATCAGGTTTAAAACTTGGCTTAATTCAACAACTTGGACACTGGGTGTATATGCATGTAAATTCATATAACTAAAAATAATTCAGCGTAATTGACAAAAGTATTGTTTTGTTTCCAAGCCAGTATCTCTTTCACTCTTTGTCAGTTTATGGTATAATGAACACACTATTTTGACTTTAATCAGGTAAAATTAGCAGCCATGCTCTGCAATTTTCGTCATGTTTTCCTACTTTCGGTTTAAAAAAAAACAATCTATATAGATCCAGATTTTATTGATTAAAATCTTTTATTAACTAACTTCATCTCCCAAAAACACTTCGTCTTTCCTTGTTTAATCCATCTTATATTATTTCAAGTAATTTTGTATCCCCTTACTGCTCCAGGCTAAAGTTACCTACTAAATCAGCTGTGTGCGTTCAAGTGAGACGTGATTTCCTACATGTACATTGTTTGTACGTTTCGTGGAGTTTTCACACCCTGAATTCACATGTCTGCTTGCATTAAATAAACAAAGGGGCTAATCTGTATACATTGAATAAACAAAGGAGATAGCCAGGAGTACACACACTTTTGTATGCTATATCTAAAAAAAAAGTTCATTTTCGCCACTTTTGAATTTCTTTTCGCCACTTTTGGAAAAAATTCGCAATTGGCGCAAATGGCGAATCACAGCTCGAGCCCTGTTGACGGATCATCATTAATATTTGAAAATTTGCTTAAAATGGGAATTTCTTGGTCAGTAAAACATGGTTATATATACAAGAACATTAAGGGATAGTCATTTCAACCAAAGCTAGCTACAGTATATCCAGTTACTAGAATTTTGTCATACATTTGAAGTGCTGGTATATTATATAATGACTAAATTTGGTGTTGGTGTAAGCATGAATTTATAAGAAACATGTAATGAATGTGTTTAACAAATTAATTTAAACATGTTCTCTTAAACCAAACCCCACCACCACCACCAAAAACAAAAAAAGAAAACAAAACCAAGAACTAAAAAAATATATTGATTAAGTTTTTTGATCATAACAGACCTTGGGAAGATTCAGTGGAAGGTAATCTTTATTTTGATTTGTCAGATTGACTGTCTAGACTTTGCACAGCATCAGAGATTGGTTGTTCTACTCAGCAGTTATTCTGAGAAGTCAGAAAACCACCCACTGCCTTGTCTTCCTCCTCAGTAAGTACACTGTATTCAAAGAGTGGTAATGAAGAAGCTAACTTTAATAAAATTATTTATTCATAGCGTTATTTATTTATTTGTCTTTTGATCCCCTAGCCAAGAAAAGATTCCATACACTGGTACATGTATAGCGCAAATTCACCACATTGATATTGACAAGACTGAAATTTCATCATTAACATCCATTCCAGTCTATTCACAATTGGTAGTCCAAAAAGTATTTAACCTATTGGTGCATTTATAATGTTTTGTCAGCTGCATACATCAGATACTGTATCTGCCTGCATTATTTGCATGAACCACTCTTAGGACAGTATTGAGGCCTTTTTTTTAACTTATCACACAAAATTTTCAAACCAAACCTACACATACAAACATTTAATGTTCTGTGTGATAAAACATTAGATGATGCAGTTTCTGAATCCTTTTTGCATCCTCATGATATAACAATCATGTGAGTCTTTGCTAGGCAAGGGTTTTTGGTCTGCTCTGCTCTCCATAAATGCTCTGCTCCACATAAATGGGGAGCTGAGCCAGCCCAAAAACCCTTGGCTAGCAAAGATGAATTGTATCTAAAAAGAATATTTTTTGTACCACACATGCCCTTTAAACACTCAACCTTGAAAAACCTTATTGCATCCAAATGATTATTGTACATTGTAGGAAAAGTTTCTATGACATGAAAATATGACGGACATATGGACGGCCAATGTGACAACAATATTGCCTGGACTTTATTTAAATTTGTGGGTACAAATGTACCTCATGCTGATGATTATTAAATTGTAATTATATTGCCAAATTATTATGTGACAGAGTCACAACATTAAAACAGTTGTTTAATGCAGCATACAAGTTCCTATTAACAAAAGCTATTTGCTATCTGGTAGTGTAATCGTAAAGATGTAAAGTTTCAATGGAATATAAATACCGGTAAAGCAATGAGTACATCCATATGCTGTATAATGTCCTCTGTTTGCATTTTGATATGTTTGAGCAAATTGAATATTTTTACTGCAGACTGGTTACAATGGAGTTTTATGGAAGTCAGGACATAACACTTGGTGGATTCCTTGAGAAGTTCTGTTTCAGGTAAAAGTATTGACAAGTGAAATAATTTCATGCACAGTTTTAATTGGCATACTTGTATAAATTTAGAAAAATGTTAAATGATATTTATTTGGTATTATGAAATAGAACTATGGGTTTTTTTTATTCCAGTAAAATAACCGTTATTGTATTGTGATTTATAGATTGTAGGGGATCTGTCTACATAAATAATATTGCTCATGTATTTTATTGAACACTCCCCCCTGTTTCAGGGAGTCATACTCCTGTCAGCCCAACACATGCACTTCAGCAACCTGTGACATCCCTATGTTGGACCATGTCAGAAGGATCATCAACAGCAATGGTGCCATTTATATTTCCTTGAGAAAACTCCCCAACTGTGTCCCTGGGGGTGAGAAAGCACTGATGATGTGGAACTGGTGTAGGAAATGTAGACAGGTTAGCAATTACGAAATAATGTTGTATGTACAAAACAAGAATTGATCCCCAGTAATTCTTTAGAGTAACCTTTTTGTCATCAAATCCCAATTTCAATTTTTGTAAATGGATGTAATGTAAATCTCATTAAAAACTTAGTTCTTTAAATTTGTTCATATTTATAAAAAGAAAGTTTTATTTTTTTTTTTACACATGTAATATGCATTTAATGTAGGCCACACCTCTTGTTCCCATGAGTATGGACAGCTGGAACATGTCCTTTGCCAAGTACCTGGAGCTTCGTTTCCATGCTGCCTCATTTGTCAGAAGGGTGGGCTCAGAACCTTGTAGTCACTCCCTACATCATTTCTTCAGTCAGTACTTTGGACATCGGAACATTGTAGCTACCTTCAAGTATGTATCAGAGTTGGAATTCATTATGTTAATGTAGAATGTATTTTATTTTGATGATATAACCTTATTTTTCAAATTAATTAAATAATTGTATTAAACATGTAATATTGTGTTTATTTAGTATGAATTCAACATGTAATGAGAATTCTGGGAGATAGTTTAACTTTGAAAGAGATGAATTTGTTCAAGAAAGTACCAGGTACATAATTTTTTTCTTAAAAAAAAATTATAGATACTACCCAATTAGCAGAAAAGAGATTGTTCTTCCCCCACCAATCATAAGCATTGAAGATGGAATGCAGAAATCTCATTGGACAAGACTCAAAGATGAAGTCAGATCCCTAACTTCTAAGTATGTAGTATAATTATGTATAATTATTAATCCTGAGAGTCAAGTTATAGAACTCCTTGTTAAATTTGAAATGATTTTGGATTATGCAGAATCATGTCCTCATATCTATTTCTTGATGCAGATGCACAGATATGTTTGCTTCCATTCACACCACCATTGTGAACACTAATTGTGATACGCATAATGAGACTCTGAGTAAACTCATCACAGACTACAAGGCCATCATTCCAGTAAGACTTGTTCTCAAGCACTGACATTTTCTGTTCTGTGTATAATTTCTGCATGATTTAATGATGAGCAGGTTATCTGTGCATGTATAACATATTTAGTCATGATTATGGTCTTCAGAGTTTTATTTCTAATTTATTATAGACAGAGAAAGGCAGAATAAAAGATTTGGCAGATAACACAAGACAATTACTAGCAGATATCTGGGTAGATATTGACAGTGGCACTGATTCTAAAGGTACAGTAGATAAAATTAAATATGTTCAACACCAGTAAAAGATAAACCACGTGTACATGTATCTGTATGAGCTTTTCCATGAAGACTTCAATAGAAGTTCACCTGTTTGTGTTGGAGAGTGATAAATTGTTTTTATTGCAGATGTAACAGAAAAACTTTATGTAATGCAGGATAATGTTGTTAGAATAAAACGACTAATAGCAGATGCCATACAGAACTGGAACCTCAAGTACATCCATATTTTTTCATGCCTGTATTCGTTCACCTGAGCTGAAGGCTCAAGTGAGCTTTTCTGATCAAAATTTGTGCATTGTCTTTGCATTGTCATAAACTTTTCACATTTTCATTTTCTTCTGAAGAACCACTATGCCAATTTCAACCAAACTTGCCGTAAAGCATTTGTGGATGAAGGGAATTCAGATTTGTTCAAAGGAAGAGCCATGCCATCTTTCAATGGGAGATAATTAAGAATAAGCAAAAATTTAATGGCATCATTTAAAAATTTTCTCAAGAACCACCAGGCCAAAAAAGATGAAACTTATGTCAAAGCTTCATTACATAGTATAAATTCAATTTTTTTTTTTACAAATCATAACCCCCAGGGGTAGAGTGGGGTCACAACAGGCAATCAAAGTTTTACATAGATAAATATATAGGGAAAAAATTTTTAACAATCTTTTTCTCAAGAACAGCAAAGCCATGGTTAGTCATATTAAAGTGCAAGCATTGCAAGGAAGTATTAATTCAAATTTGTTCAAATCATGACCCCCTGGGGTTGGATGGGGTCACAGTAGGGGATCAAAGTTTTACGTAGGAATATACAGGAAAAAATCTATATAAATCTTCTCAAAAATGGCAAAGCAATGATAAATTATATTGATATGGAAGCATCATCAGGTAGTGTAGATTCAAATTTATTCAAATCATGATGCCCCAAGGGTAGGATGGGGCACATTAGGTGATCCAAGATTTGCATAGGAATATATAGGGAAAAAAACTTTACAATAGCCATTGTTAGTGTTTAAAATCTACATCTGCTGTAGTGCCAGGCCTGTATATATGAGTGTATTAATGCTTATTTTGCTGTTGTTTTTAAAGTTAATTTAAATGTTAAAATAATTTAGTTAAAAAGAAATAGTTTTGTGTTTCAAAATTCTATGAGTGTAAATGGTCATTGTGTTTCACCAGTTTAATAATAAGTGAATTGCACTGTATTCCCATGTTGCATGCAATCAGCAGTGCAGTTTAACACAGTAATTTTGTTAGAGTTTGTTACTTTTAAGTCTTGAGCCTTCTAATGCAGTTTTTTTTGTGGTAGGTTACAAGAGCTGATAACCCAACAAAAGAAATTCAACAAACAGGCCAGAAAGGAGGCAACACCACCCCCACAAGAAGATGACAGCAAACTGGTATTTGATGTATAAGAATTGACACACTAGTAAACTAACAAGATTCATGATTCTTATATTGGTTTTGTGATTTTAATGAATGATGTTGCAATGGTTAAGGAAAACAGAACATTCTGTGTATTCAAAATGCTACTCTTTTAGCCCCATTAGAGTTAATTTACAGTAATTACACATACATGTATATACTAATTCAAGATACATAATTTTTATGCCCCCGGATCCAAAGATCCCGGGGGTATATTGTTTTTGTCCTGTCTGTCTGTTTGTCTGTTTATCTGTTTGTCTGTTTATCTGTTTGTCTGTCTGTCTGTTGTCAACTTTAACCTTGCCTATAACTTTTGATTGGTCGGAGCTATGACTTTCATATTTCACATGTGTATTCTTGTGACAACACCTTTCTTTGGGTACCATCATATTTGACCTTTTGACCTTGACCTTGGAGTTTGACCCACTTTTGCAAAATAACCTTGGCCATAACTTCTGAACAGTTAGTGCTTTGGGTTTCAAACTTCACATGTGTATTCTTTGTGACAACACCTTTCTTTGGGTACCATCATATTTGACCTTTTGACCTTGACCTTGGAGTTTGACCCACTTTTGCAAAATAACCTTGGCCATAACTTCTGAACAGTTAGTGCTTTGGGTTTCAAACTTCACATGTGTATTCTTTGTGACAAGGCCTTCCTTTGGATACCAATCACTTTGACCTTTTGACCTTGACCTTGGAGTTTGACCTACTTTTGAAAAACTTTAACCTTGGCCATAACTTTTGAACAGTTGGTGCTTGGGGTTTCAAATTTCACATGTGTATTCCTTGTGACAAGACCTTCCTGTGGATATCAACCTCTTTGACCCTTTGACCTTGTCCTTGGAGTTTGACCTACTTTTGAAAAACTTTAACCTTGGCCATAACTTTTGAATGGTTGATGCTAGGGCTTTCATACTTCACACATGTAATCCTTGTGACATCACCTTCCTTTGAATACCAACCACTTTGACCCTTTGACCTTGACCTAGGAGTTTGACCTACTTTTGAAAAACTTTAACCTTGGCCATTACTTCTGAATGGTTGGTGGTAGAGCTTTCATACTTCACAGATGTAATCCTTGTGACATCACCTTCCTTTGAATACCAACCACTTTGACCCCTTGACCTTGACAAAGGAGTTTGACCTACTTTCGAAAAACTTTAACCTTGGCCATAACTTTTGAATGGTTGGTGCAAGGGCTTTCCTACTTTACATATGTAATCCTTGTGACAAGACCTTCCTTTAGATACCAACAACTTTGACCTTGACCTCGATGTTTTACTTACTTTTAAAAAACTTTAACCTTCACCATAACTTTTGAACAGTTGCAGCTAGGGCTTTCAAATTTAACATTTTTTATCTTTTGGCCTGGATTTTGACTTGCATTTGAGAAACTTTAACCTTCGCCATAAGCTGCGATATGGGGGCATCAGTGTTTCACAAACACATCTTGTTGTTATTGTGAAGAACTGTGCTGCCTAAGTAAATATTTGAGAAATGCTTTCAAAATACTGCTCCTTCTTTAGTTTTGGTTGATTTCAGCAAAACTTTGCAAAGCTTTAGAAACATTAAGTTACATAATAAGTCAAGATGCAACTTCTCTATTCCACTGGTATAAGTACAGTCTCATGGGAGACTTTTTGTTTTATATACAGAGTACATCATCTTCCTCTCGGCAGTTTGGGATTGAGGATTCACAGTCTACTGCAGAATTTACAGAGATAGATGCTTCCCAGGAAGTGGATCCAGATTCCAGAGGTGTGTGCTTTGTTATCCTATAAAATGAGAATTTAAATACTGAAAATAACAATAATGGTAAAGGAATGTGTCATTTCAACTCTTTTCATTCCTTTAATTTCCTCAACTGTTTGGTATGAACATTTGGAGACAAAAAATATTATGTTTATCTTTTAGCTTCCTCTATGCCAGTGAAAATTAATGATCCAGTAGAATCCAACTTCAAAGAGACATGTAAGTACAGGTGCTTTGGTACATTTTCATTCTTTTTCTTTTTTGCCCTCCGCTTTCATTGAAAGTGGAGATATTAATTATACTCCCTGCATACGTAGTTTGGGGGGTGTATATAGGAATTACCTTGTCAGTCTGTCCCTCTGTCTGTCTGTCCAATCTTGTCCAGGCTATAACTTTGTTTTTCATTGGAAGCTCATACTTGGTACAAAGATTGTTTATGACCTGAGGGTGTGTCTTGACCTTAACCTAAGGTCATTCCACCAAGTTCAAGGTCACTGGCAAAAAAGTATAAAATTTGTGTCTGGTCTATAATTTCCTAATGGAGAAGCATATGAGGTCCATAACTCAACTCAAAGATTACTTATAACCATAGGATGTGTCATTGCCACTGGCACAAAAAAATATTGAATTCAGTTTATAGCTTTCTAATGAAAAGCAATGGAAATTCATACTTCACAAAAATATTATTTATGTCATGAACTTGAACGAAGGTTAAACCAGCAAGCTCTAGGTTACCAGAAGTAAAGGTAAAAAAAAAGGGTCCTGTACATTATTCTTTAATAGATAAATATTGAAGGTTGAAACTTCAAAGATTATTTGTGAACTGAAGGTATGTCATAACTTTGACCCAAGGTCATTGTGGCAAGTTCAAGGTCACTAGGAGGAAAAGTGTAAAATTCATGTCAGATCCATAATTTTCTGATGGAGAAGCATATGAGGTCCATAACTCAACTCAAAGATTACTTATAACCATAGGATGTGTCATTTTTTAACCAAGTTCATTTTGGCAAGGTGAGGGTGACATTTGAAAATTGTTTATGGGCACTTAGAAAAATTCAGTGGTGGTATAATTTTGTGAGCTTGCTCACAGTACCTCTAGTTTGGGCAGACTATGGTTTCCAGATGATAACTTAAGTTCGTTTTGAGGCTTTTCAATGAAATTATACATAACCATTTGATTTGGAGGTCAAAAGGTCAAGGTCAGTGCCCCTTTTTTGTTACAGTTTATTTTTTACTATATTAAAAAAATAACTTGCTATGTTATTCTCTAGTATGTTTTAATGAGTGTTTGAAAATATATTTACTACCTTTTTAGTCATCAGTGATTTTATCTTCGTAGATGAAGGTTTGATTTCCAGTATATTAGTTTCTGCATTATATTCTTGAATTAAATATTCATTTATGACTAATATGCTTTTTCATGTGTGTGGATTTCATTGGTGTCCAGAAAACATTCTTCATTTCAATTTTTAAAAAGAAAATTTGATGAGTGTATTTGATGATTGGATATCATTATTTTTATGCATTGTTCAGCATTTCAAGGGTAGAAAATCTTTCTCATGCAATGCATTTATGTCATGCTTTTAATTACTTCTCTGGAAAAGCTTATAACATTTTGAAACTATAATTTATGCAAAGTAGATTCAAAAGCTGAATAATAATTTGCCTTTAAATTCATAAAATCATTCTTATTAAATTCTGCTGTTTACTAAACATGGTGATGAAGGATTCCTTCATTTAACTAAATAGTACACAGTTACATTGTTGTGTATTTTATTCATGGCATCATTGTGGGACTTTGCATTTAACCCACTCCTTGAATGTTTTGAAGGATTCAGTCATTCATATGCAAATACATCTTTAGTTGGTGAGAGCATTTTTAATTATTTCAAAATTTTGTAGCCTTAATATTGCACTTCAAATGTATTGGGTAATCCAGAGAAGGGCTTTTATGACATTTTAACAGTGTTTAAAAATCTGCACTTTAAAATAAGAAATCAAGTAAATGCAAGCATGCATAGTTTATTACTTAATGTCTACAAATAAAAAATAAAGTATACAATAATGTAGAATAAATGACAATATGTACCTTTACAATGTATTGTATTGAGTAGATACTGGAGGAGAATTTGATATGATTTAACTTTGTATGTTACAGACTATGCCCTGTCTACGGAGAGCAACCAATACAGTGTGACCCCAGGAATTGATGCAGGTATATTAGAGGATGCATGTGAAATGAAACCCCTGTCAGGGGACACTACTCAGTATGTGGTGGTACATTATGCAGAAGGTGAAGGGATCTAGTTTGTTTTTTCCCCAGTACTACATGTAACTCACTGTTGACTTGTGCCACTGCTCATTCCACTGAATCAGATACAGCATAAATTGGATTTGACATTAAAATCCATTAATGCCACAGACCTTTGCTTCAGCAGTTGATGTATATTTTTCCAGTATTTCCTGTGATATATTCTCATCCATTTCCTGACAAAATATTCAAACACAATTACACATTCTCTTTCCATGCACTCTTAATTAGCAGTAATCAGTTTTGCAGTTCACTTTAAAAATGATTGTAATTAATAATACAGAAATCACAATTTCCTTTAGATGCCAAGGATTTAGAGAAATCCAGTGATCAAGTATTGACATCACAGGAAGTGGAGGGAACCAATGATGAGGACCAGCTTAAGGTCAACAAGTCAAAAAGTAGTGTAAAGAAAGTTGGTAAGACCTTTACAGAATGTACAGACTGCATAACAATTTTCCATTTTCTAAATAGAGGTATTGCCATCTGTATATTTTTAGTTGTACGCAGAGCATTCTTAACAGTAGTACATGTAGTTCATAAGACATTGTTGATTGGCTATTGGATTCTGTTTTAGGTTCATCAGATGATATACTTGATGGACAAAGGATTGATAAAATAACAAACATCAAAAGTCGGGTCACAAACTTTCTGGCAGGATCTAGCATTCCAAATACTCTGAAGGTGTAAGTGTATGAATCCACATATACACTGTACATGATAAAAAAATGATGAGAATCAAACACTAGACAGTTCAATCATTACAAATCTCTTTCTTAATTACATATACATGTACATGTATGTAGTTGTTACTGATGTCACATTAAAAAAAGATGGATAAAGATAAATTGAAATGTAATTTAGACATTTTCAAAATGAGAAATAAAATGAAAGATTAGGGGGAGGGATTCTTAGCCGCTGATTTTTCTAGAGTAGAAAGCTATATATTAATGCTATATTTTAATGAAATGCAGTCATTGTGCTGCAATGTTTATTTTTATGATATTAATATATTAATATATTAATATTTATGAGTAATTATTAAAACAGTACCTTTGAGAAAACATTAAATTTTGGTTTTCAATTTAAAGAAATTATGGAGAACATCATCAGCTGCCTGTTGGGAAAGTGCCAGTGTTGGTCTATGATGAGGAACCCAGTTCAATCATTGCATATGCACTAGGGTAAAAATGAAATGGACTTTAGCTCACTGGAGCTGAAGGCTCAAGTGAGCTTTTCTGATAGAAATTTGTCTGTTGGCGTCTTTGTTGTAAATTGTTCTCAATTTCATCTTCTCCAGAACCACTTGGCCAATTTCAACCAAACTTGGCATTAAGCGTCCTTGGGTGAAGGGGGGTTCAAGTTTGTAAAAATGAAGGGCAACGCCCTTGTTCAAGAGGAGATAATTGATAATTAGTGAAAATTTAATGGCGTCTTTTAAAAATTTTCTTCTCAAGAACCACTGGGTCAGAAAAGATGAAACTTATTTGAAAGCTTCATTACATAGTGTAGATTCAGTTTTCTTCAGATCATTACCCCCAGAGGAAGGATGGGGCCACAACTGGGGATCAAAAGTATACATCGGAATATATAGGAAAATCATTAAAAATCTTTTCTGAAGAACAGCAAAGCCATGATTAGTTGTATAAATATAGAAGCATCCTGATGTAGTGCAGATTCAAGTTTGTTCAAATCATGACCCCCTGGGGTAGGGTGGGGCCACTGTGGGCAATCAGAGTTTTACATGGGTATATATAGGAAAAATCTTCCTCTAATGAACAAGAAAAGCAATTATTACTCATAATTAGATTCAAATTTGTTCAGATCTAGGCCACTGGGAATAGGTTGAGGCTACTACATGTACAATAGGGGGTCAGAGTTTTACAAGAGATTATATAGAAAGAAATGGCAAGGCCACACTAAATCACACTGATAAGCAAACCATTCCTAAGTTGTATGGTTTATTTTTTTTTAATTAAATTATGAACCCTGGGGCTAGAGTTTGGCTATCAGAGATCCAAATTCTATGTAATGCCTATGTATAGAATAAAGAAATCTTTTCCAGAACAGCAGGGCCACCATTCATATTGATATATCCCAATTTTGTGTGGATTCAACTTTGGATGAATCCGTAGCCCCCTTAGGACTGGGTTTTGGTCCACAATATAGACTCAAAATTTATATAAAAAAAAAAAAAAAAAAAAAAAAAAAAAAAATAAGTAAAGAGGTGATTTTTTTTTTATAAATCTGATGATGATGAACAGTAGGACCATAGTGACTCAGGTGAGCATTGTGGCCCATGGGCTTTTCGTTTCATTATTAATGCTGCATATTCCATTCATCAAAAATATAATACACTGAGAAGCATTTAAGTGAGGCTACATGATATAATTTTCAGAGCATTTTTTTTGTAGATCACATGAATATTTTGCAAAACTACAGGAAATTCAAGCTTCCTTTACACAGAGAGAGACTACTCATAACAGGTAATTTTATTTTATTCTGTTATAGAGCCAAGTAATTTTTTGAGTAGTGATGACAATTTTTTTGTAATTAAGAAATAGATATACCTGAAATTTTTAATCAAAGAGAGGATATTTGAAAATTGTCTCAAGAATAAATGCATTGCTGTTGTCTCTCAAAAAAAAATTTTTTCTTCTTAAATATACAATTGATAATATCTAAAGTATCTGAATAATGACTGAGCTACAAATGTACATGTATGTTAGAAATTATGTGCCTTGAAAATACATTATACTACACTTTGATTTTCAACAGGGATTCCAAATTGCCCAAATCTGGTGATCAGGACACTGCCTCTATTGACAGTTCTGAGCCAGGTAAGATAAGTATTTTATGAAACAGTTACTGCTTATTTCTGCTTAATAGACTGAACTGACAGATTGCAGTGATTAGATTTTGTCACTGGTATGATAACATGCACTGCTTCTTGCAGTAAATATATAAATACATGTATCTCTTCTGGCAAATTATATAATCACACTATACATGTATGTAGAACAAATGTGAACAGAATTTGTCTTACGCAGTTATGCTGAGCATATATAAGAAGCTTTCATTGTTTTGTACACTTGAACCTTTGCTTTGTGTACTTACCTGGAACTGACTCGCAGGAAGAAAACCAGGATCTGGAGTCTTATCTTTTCTAAGAGGGTCAAGTTCACGAGATCCCAGTCCCAGACCCCCGAGAAAGCCTGAGTATGTGGACACAGTGAAATACACACCCAAAATAGATCAGGATAGTGTAGAAATAGGTAAAGCACTCAAAACATATATAGTACTAAAAATAGAAATGGACATTATGAAAATGTAGGTATTTAGCCCACTAAATGACAGGTAGAACTTATGCTATACCCCTTAGACAGTTTAAAAGACATTCACTCCAGCATTAAAGCTTTTATTGTTTTGTATACTTGAACCTTGAACCTTGCCTCTTTAGGTCACCTGAGTCACTCTTGTGACCTATTTCTATCTGTTTTCGTCCATCAATGTGCGCAATGTGTCTTCCATTAACATTTTAACATTTTCAGTTTCTTCTCTGAAAGGGCTCAACCAATTTCAACCAAATTTAGTATATAGCAATTATTGGCAAAGGAAGACAAACAAAAATTGTGAATTTCACCCCCCCCCCCCTTTGCCATATATGGGGTTTGGGCCAAACCATCAAAATTAGTGCATCTTGAAAACCCTCTTTTCTCCTGGACATCAAGCATTGCTGGCATTATTATAATCAGTATTGAGTCCTCTATCAAAATTGTGAAATTCATGGCCATAAGAGTCAGGGGTTTGGGTGTTAGGGTGGGGCTCTATAGATCATATATTGAAAATGCATAAATTCTTTTAAAATCTTCTTATCTCCCCTGTATATTCAGCAGAGAAATTGATGAGCAAGGATGCCTCGAGGTCAATTGAATAAAAGAATTATACAAGGATTTTTAATAAATAAAACAGAAGTACTTTTATTGTTTTTAATGGTCAAGTAGACTTGTAAATAATGGATAAATAAAAAGGAAACAAAAATACCTTATTTCATACATTAAAACCAAGACCTAGAGAGGTCATTGTCAGAGGGATATTGATTGTGCTGGGCTTATGATGTGTATACTGTTAAACGTAATGCATATTTGGATCCTTTACAGGGTTGTATTATTCTCAGCTGACTGTTATAGCCCTTGGACCTTGTTTTGTACTTTAAAATTTATATTCTTTGCTTTCAAAGATCAAAATAAAAAAGCATTATCAAAAAGTTATAAGAGGCCAAATAAAGAAAATTCAGAATTGAACATTGAGTGTGGCCAAGAAATTCAATTATTACTAGACAAATTAATATATGTATATGCCAATAAATCATTATGATGTATAACTGTTCATTTGAAAAGAAGAGTTGATTAATGTTATTATCAAATGTCAACAGAAGCAATAAAACAGAATTGCTCGGCCTGAAATTTTAATGTGGTTTACAGTAGAGTTTATTCTCTCTCTCAAAGTTTGATATACATGTATATGATTTTTTTTTAATTTTCACATAATAAACTGGAGTGTTTAATATCAAGTGTCAAGTATGATTTTTAGCACTAAATTAATATTTTAATCTGTTTTGAGATTGTGACAAAATTCTAATAAATATGATTTTGATACTAATATGAGTGTTTTAATTTCAAGATTTTATACCAATTAAGTTTAGGTTAAATATATTTTAATATTCTTGATTAACTTTTTACTCATTAAATTCTACCATGTTTTCTCTTTGTGATTTTTAATAAATAAAATAAGATAATGTTCATAAAAAATGAAAAGCCTGGTCTATCAAAGTACACTGTAATTCATGATGTTTCAGATGATCAGGATGGATTTTCCATTTACACAACTAGTATGTCATCTGATACAGAAAAAGGTCGCACCAACAGACAGACAGCCCTAGTTCACATCCAGCTACGTATGTTATGTCATTTTTCTCTGTACATGTATGTACAAATGAGATAGATACAAAAGTATGTGTTGTTTCAGTGTTTTATTACCTTAAAAGTTCACTGTCTTTTTCTTATAGAATTCGCTGATAACACAGCCAAGTTCTACTGTAAATTCTACTTTGCTGAGCAGTTTCGACTGTTAAGAAAAAAGATTTTTCCTGAAGGAGAGGAAATGTAGGAAATGATTGTTTATTGTTTTGTTTAGAAAAAGAAATTAATAAAAAACAATGATTTACTGAGAGACAAAAATGTTCATTGGAATAAAATATTTTGGATTTGTGATCAGAGATTATATCTTGGTTACTTAATTTTGTTGTTTCAAAAATAATATCAACGATACATAACACAAACAAAAATTTGATGCATGGATTGATCTATATTTTTTGACTGAATTTGATTAGAAATGACATAAATAATAATTCCCTAAAATATAAGAAAATCGTAAGTTTCCTTTGGTACTTAGATATGCGACTGTGTCGTTTTCTGTGCAATTCTATACAAAATTTTGCACATATTTTTAACATTGTGACAAAGTCGTACAGAATTCTCCCACTTTACATGGCATGATACAGGTTACCTATTATATAATAATAATATATATATAAATCGCTGAGAAATATTGCTGATTTGTGAAAAAAGTTTGTTTGTGTTATTTATCCTTAAAATATATTTCTGAGTAAAAAATTTATTTTCAGTCTTAATGGCATAATGCAGATGTTGTAGATGCACATTTTTACCTCTCATCAAGTTGTTTCTAGTGATGAATGATATGTAGGAATTTGTGTTCAGGTTAAATCACCTTACTGCAGAGATTAGAGAAATGATGGACAGAATATCATTTTCAAACAAAAATCAGATTTTTATAATTTTAAAGGCTGTAATAAGACAGTTTGTTCCTGTAGGGTATTTTCTATGTTGTTGAGAATTTTTTTGGTATTTTAGGTTTATTCGCTCTCTCAGTAGATGTAAAGTATGGGAAGCCAAGGGAGGTAAATCAGGCTCTGCTTTCTGCAAAACGCATGGTAAGCTAAAATGTCCATTATAAGTTGTTGTTTAGGTCATACAAATCTTTCTGCTTAATTATACATAATTATTCTTCCTTATAATCCAGACAACAGATTTATCCTCAAGCAAATGTCTGGTACAGAGGTGGAGATTTTTGAGAAGTTTGGATTCGAATATTTCCTGTACATTCACAAGTGCCATATGGAACAAGTAAGTAGACATTAAATTGAAAAAGAAAATGTAAAAATACACCAAAAATTCTATTAAAGTGTTTTAGAATCGGATTGAAATGCAATTTTTGTGTTGTTGGTAGAGACCGACAGCTCTTGCCAAGATAGTTGGTGCCTTCAGGATTGGTTTTCGCAACAGCCAGACCAATAGTGACTTGAAGCAGGACTTGTTAGTGATGGAGAACCTGTTCTACAACCGTAATATTTCACAGGTAAGATATTTTACACCTGCAAGATTGGATATTTGATCTGTAATGTGGATATTTCTTTTTGTCGATCTGTAACATTGATATTTCTTTTTGTTTGAATATCTTTGGTTATGATGATCTCACAAAGGAGACTCAAAGAAAATTAAAGTACTTTGGGGATACCCATTCAAAAGACTTCAAGCATATAGTCTGCCAATCTGATATAATTTGTTTAAATGAAAATAATAATGATTTTAATCTACTCTCTGTAGACATTTGACCTTAAGGGCTCCATGAGAAACCGTTTAGTGAACATGTCCCGAGGTCGGAAGCCCGAGCAGGAGATGGTGTTACTTGATGAAAATCTCCTTAAGTGTAAGTTCAATCTCATTATTTAAGGGAATTTTTTGGCCCTATATCTGATGTCTTTCATGAATGTTTGAAAAAAT